GATCCGCAGGATTATCTAGCTCGAGAGTTTCGGCTAGGTAACATTCGCTGATCAAGCCCTCTTAAAGCCTGAACTTTTGTCCTGCTTTTCGGGCGCGAACCATCTCGTGAACTAGATCAACAAGATTATCAGATCAGCAAATTGGTCTAAGTAACGATCACTGTGCAAGCACCGATCAAGCCTCTTAAAGTAAGACTCAGTTGTCAGCTCAATAGTTGAAGCTTACCAACGATCACTGCTCAAGCAACGATCATGCCCACGTAAAGTTGATCAGCTCTGTTGACTAGATCAGTTGACTATACCCATAGACTTAATCAGTTTAGTAGATCAATTGACTAGATCAGTTGAATTGATCAATTGACTAGATCAAGTGACTAAATCAGCCATGATCAGTTGAATTGATCACTTGATCTGATTATGACTAGATCAGTTGATTTGATCAGTAAAATCGATCAGTTGATCTGGTCAGTTGGATTGATCTGTTTATTTGATAAGTTGAATTTATCAGTTGAATTGATCAGTTGACTTGATCAGTTGATCATATCAGCTGACTTGATCAGTTGATCATATCAGTTGAATTGATCAGTTGAACTGATCAGTTGATCTGTTCAGTTGGTATGATCACTTGATTTGATTAATTCACTAGATCAAGGGACTAGATCAGTTGAACTGATCAGTTGTCTTGATCAGTAGAGTTAATCAGCTGATCAGTTGTCTTCTTCAAGGGACTAGATCAGTTGATCTGATCAGTTGTCTTGATCAGTAGAGTTAATCAGCTGATCAGTTGTCTTGTTTGCTATCAGATCAATGCAAGTAATGCGTGTCATAAGGATCGATAACTAATGATCGTTAATCTACCCATCAACATTTATCTGGCCTACACTGAAGGTGGTAAGTGGAATAATAATGACTAAACTCACTGATCAAGCCAAAGCCCCAAACTTTACTAATTGCAAGTCCTCTCGAATCTAGTGCAAATCTTATGCCAGCTAAGCCACGTGCTGCGCATACGTTTGGCATGCGAGCAGACGATCGATCGTGCCGCCTCATAAGGCTTATGGCGATGAGTAAACAGAAATTAAAATCTCTGATTCGCAGCTAACAGTCTTTGTGATATGTCAACATTGATAAAGGTGGCGAATCGGAGAGTATCAGGCGGCGGGATCAGCAAAGGGGTTGAAATCGAATTTCAAATGCCAAAATTCTCACCTGCCCAGCAGATCGAACAGCATTGCTATTGGAGTGTGCGCTACACGTGACCAAGAGTATACATAGTCTCACTCACACACACACACACACACACACATACAATTGGCTGCTGCTGGTGGTGGTGGTGGTGAAGGCACACGATCGACCTTTTGTGTGGTTAACGCCCGCCTGTTGTTTGTTGGCATCTCGAAGATCTCTTGACATTTCGACTGAATGCCAGTTTGATCTCTTTTTTTACAGTGCACTCTTGTAGTTGCCCATTCTTTGGCAAATTGATTACAAGAAAATGATGTTGTTCGTCGTGGATTATCTGTGTTGCCTCATCTCTGTTTCTCTAACCGCTCTTTTGGCACTTGCCTCCAGGGTTATGCATCATTATTTGACTTGCCAATCCGTTGTTCTAAGGAATTCATAGTATTCGGCAATTAGATCGTTCTGCTGTTGTTTGACTCTTCTTCAGCTGTTTCTACTTAACGGTCGCTCCCTCTGGACTGCAGCTTAGCATCTCCATAAGCGCAAGAATCTAACGCCATTTCCACTGGAGTACTAAATGTCTGTCGTCGACTCCATTTTGTGTTTGTGCAAGGGTTGGACAAGCCACGAAGGGGGTTGAAATTGCCGCATAAGCAACGGGGTTGCAATTTTATGTTCACATTCATGCAACCAATCAACCCCAAAGTCCGGCACACGTGTCAAAAATTAAACAAAACTGTTTGACAATCTGCCTCACCGCCCACAGCCAAACGAATCCTTTGTCGCTAGCCCCTTTAGTGAAGGTCCACCACGACGACCGCAATTAAAGTTTCTCGAAGGTTCAGTCGACTTGCCCATAAAACAGTTCTAAGGATATGTAAGACTACCCCTTTAGTTATTCGACAAACTTTTTTGATTCAATCCAATTTTATGGAAGATATCTAGCTTAAAGTATAGCTAAATCGCTTGGAAAGGGTTTGTTTAGGATCTCTTATCTTTAAGTAAGAAAATCAATGGATGTAGTAGAAGTTGAGGTGCATAGAGTATGTTGGTTTGCTGAAACATGCATCCGAAAATATATAGTCAAGATTATTGCAATATGCGGACTGAATAGTTCCATCAATCATTGAGGCAACGTTGGTCCAGTGGGTTCTTGGCTTACCTTCTCTTCATATGAGCTGATTGGGCATTACTCATAGCATTTAGTATTGAAGCTGGAGACTATATATATATATATATATAACCTTACATATATATATACCGACACTCATACATATATGTACATATATAGTAGCCTCTACTATTTTTATGAAATTTATTTTTTATTTTACTAAATTTTGTATATTTTCCTTTCTCAAGATCTGATGTGCTTACAGCAAAATAGTGTTAAGCGAAAAACATCTTAATTAATAATAGAATAAATTAATCAAATTATTTTTAAGATTATTACTAAATTGTGTTGTCCAACATTGAGTGCTCAGTCGCACTACTATTTTTATGAACACAACTGTATACACAGATAATTATATGTATATATCTTTAGAAGAGTTGCAAATATCAATAAGGCTATACAAGTATGGGGTATTCACTGATCTTAAAAAATTATGTATAATATGCGCCTATGTTTTCCAAAGTTTCAGAACTTTCGCCGTAGTTCACCTCTGACTTCCTCTACATATGAATACATATATATTTTATAATTCCCGAATTGGAACATAAAAAAGTTTCCATTAAAATTATCTGCAATTTTCTTAAATTATTTTATTTAAAGATAAGCTTGAAATACAAACAATTAGCTTAGGTTATTGTGCGATGTGTGAATATTCCGTTGTCCAGCTAATCATTTGTCATTTTGGTCAAATTTTACAGTTATTATCGAAAACAATGCCACGTTGCGGTGCGATTTCAACGGAAGTGCCAACGTGTCCAGCAGGATGATTAGCGCTTATCTGCCTGTCTCTCCATACATATACTATATAGATAGTCACTGTGTATGTGTGTGTGTGCACAATGGCATTTTTATTGATAAAAATTATGCACGCATAAGGACAAAGGGATCTGGCAGCATGTTAGCCAACTTGACTCAGCATAAAATCAGCGAACGACTCTAAAACAAAAGACGACAGTAAGAGCAGAAACTGTCACTCGTCTTCGTCTTCGTCTTCGTCTTAGTCTTCGGGTCTACGTTTACGTCTTCGTCATAATGGCTCAATCAGGCAGGAAATTTTGCCAGCGGTTAACGGTAACGCTGCTGCCATTGTTGACCGACTGTCGCCCGAAAGGATTTTCGCCTGGTCAACGCTGAAATGTCATCGTGGGACCGGCGGCTGATATAAAACGAATGCTGGACGTGTGTTTGTTTAACTGTCTACATGGCTAACGGTTAACCGTTAACTATTGCTTTGATGGGCGCCGACACAAAGGAGACAGAGAATTGCCTTACCGCAGGGACTCTGAAAAAGAGTTGCAACAGCAAGCGCAGAGCTTCCCACAGACATAGCTAAGCGTTTGACTTATCTTTACTCATAAGACAGTCACAAGCATACTCACTCACAAATATATATATTCATATAAATGTAAATAAGGTGAGCACTCAGAAAAACACACAAAATGGCCATTTTATTGTGGTTGCCATCTTGATTGTCTTTCATTGCTACGCTACTGTTGCGTAACGTGTTTCTAAGCTGCTTACGTTCTCTTATTATGGCAAACATATTTGCACTTGAGATAAATGACAGCATACATTACAGTTATATTAGCATATGTCATATTAAAAAATACATATAAAAAAATACGCAACGTAATAACTATATTCACAGTTGTCACCTGACTGAGTTGCCATAATGATCGTTTATATTCGATACGCAATTTTTGCACAATGTGTTGTTTTAAAGTGCATTTTGATTTAAGGTTGCCATCTGATTTAAAGTAACGTAACGTCACAGAACTACGCAAGTCTAATAACGTTAACAATTTCGAATTGTGGCAGAACATCAAAAGCGGACACAGCATACATTTTTTTGTTATTATCTGATATAAAATAAAGATACTTAATGCAACCAGACATCCTAGTAACATACTTGATGTGCAGTGGAACTTGTTGCACAACTGTTGCGCAATGTCTTGTCATGCATTCATAATTATGCTATAACCGCAATTTTTTTTGCGTAATTTGGGTTGCCAGTGCAGCAAATGAATAACGTAAAATCACCCACAGCACGAAAAATAATTAACAGATATAAGTATTAATACCTTTAAAAATTATATTAATCATCAGTTGCTTGGAATCGTTGACATTAGCTATAACTTGATGATTACCTGAATAATAAGGATCTGAACAAAAATTGCAGAACTTTCATCTGGACAAAAACGTGAAGCCGTAAATTGTATTACAAAACGTAATGGACAATGGCTATTTCAATTTGCCATGTTCCTTAAAAGGATACTGAGTACTGTGAAAAGGTGGCGTGGCTGGCTGACGCCCATTTCAGCTAACGATTATTTGGCATAAAATTGGGTACGCAAATTCCGTTAAAAAGTAAAGACAAGAGACAAGAGAGTTTCTCAAAAAGGGATTTGGCTGCGTAAAGCGTAAAAATGCCGTTAAAACTTATTTGGAATGAGCAACAAAAATGCCAGACCCGCCCTTTGCACTTTGCCCTTTGGCCTGTTGACTTAAGATTACGACAAGACAAGAGTTGAGAGTGTGTGCTTGTGTGTTGGGCTACTTACACTAAGCCGGCTGAGCTGCATAATTTTCCATAAAAAAATAATAATACAGAAGACATGAAACAATCCATTGAAAGATTTGTGCATTTGTTTTGGCTATCTCTATTTATAAAGGCTACATATATATAGAAGAGAAAAGAATTACATATAGGTAGCATAGCATATTTATTGACCCTTCTTGATGACATGCGCCAGGTCGTAGACACCACGAACCGCCTTCAGCTTGACACCGGGCACATCCTGCAGCCGACCGACGCGACATAGAACAATATTATGCTCCTGCAGATTGTGTCCAATGCCCGGTATATAGGCGACCATCTCCTTGCCAGTGGATAAACGCACCAGCGCGCATTTGCGATTGGCCGAATTCGGTTTCTTCGGCTTCTTGATCAGCGTTTTGAGGACCACGCCCTTGGCAAAGGGTTTCCCATCCAGCGGCTGGCGTGGCGGACGCGTCTTAATGTGAGGTCCACTGCGATGCATTTGGTTCAACGAGGCCATGCCACGTAGTGCAGCCGACACATAGTTGCTCTGCAGTGCTGCAAACAATTGACAAAAACAAACTGATTATAGTCCATGCCGGCACAACTGTACTAATTAAGATATATCTATATAGATATATATATATATGCACGCATAGTAGCTGCAGCATGTGAGGCTTAGAACATTTGACACAAACGAAAGAATAGACGAACAGACAAAAAGGGTCAGACGAACTGTTGGACAGTTGGGCAGTTGGTTACCAATGCCCATTGGCCTTTTGTTGTGGCTAATCTCTGTGAAAATCGCAAAATAATTGTTATGCTGCGCGCACACACACACGCACACACACATATATATGTGCAAGGATTCTTTCTTCTTTTTTTTTTTTTGGCTTGTATGCCAATAATAATTGCAGCCAAATGACGCGGCCTTTGGGTCAGCTATCAAGCCTTTTATGATTGAAAGCGTGTGACAGATCGGCAGATCGGCAAACGGGGGTTGTTGTACTCTTGGCTCTGCTCAGTGACCATTGGCCAGAGCCCATGTAGCCCCAGCTTACTGTACTGTACTGCCCTCTGCATTCACTAAATCGAAAAACGACAACAGTTTTTAATTAAATGCCACACAGGTATACACCCACAGGTAACAATTACCATAACGCTGGACAATCGCATACAATGGGCGCATGTGTCGCGATCCTCGACGCACCTGTGTGTCCTTTTCATCTTATTGTGTGCATGTCATGCAAATTCCTATTGTTAGGCCGTGCTATGTCCATGTCGATGCCCATTGACAGCATGTTATGTGCATTTGTGTGTGAATTTTAATTAAAAAACACGGATAACATAAACAAGACCAGAAGATGTCCTGAAACCTAGCCCTACTTTCAATTTCAGCCTGGACTCAAATCGAGTTCAAGTCTAACATTTTTCTGAAGTTCCAGCTAACTTACATTTGATGGACACAGAATCAATCTATTTCCTTATTTTCGGGAACAAGTTAAAAACTACAACAATATATTAAAAGCAACTGTACTTTACGAATATCTTAAATATATACAGAAATTGTGGTCTAGATCGTAGAATTGTACATCTCAAATCGAAGCTGCTGTCGATATATCTAATATTTTCTATTTGATTTATTTATAGTTACTTTCTAGTCTTTCAAACTTCGTGACAAGGCTACGAAAACATTTGCCCGGCTGCATTATTAAAAACTAAGGACACATGTGAAAAGACCTATAAAAATATTCACAGGCTAACCGCAGGAATGGGAACGAGGGAGCAGGACGAGCACGGCGACGGGGCGGGGGCGGGGGCGGGGGCGAAGCGAGTCACAAACAAGTCGGCCACGCGCCCATGAAAAAGAGTTGAGATCGTGGGCAAACAGTCTATACAAATCATTTTGCACACACAGACAAGGGACGGCAGGATCATTGGATAAACAGAGAAAATGCGCAGTCACTTGGTAGGGAGGAGGAGCAATTGACTGTCGGCTGCAGACCTAGGCAAATATGCATAGGCGTGTGCATATAAACGACAACTGAAATATGTACAAATAGCGCAACATAAGTTTCAATTAAGTTTACGTTCAGAACTTACCTTGGCTCGTCAATTGTTTCGTAACGTTGAATGTTTGGCGCAGGAAATTCATGTTGATCACGTTCAGTTCTAATCGGTTCGCCTAGCTAAACGCTTTAGCTGTTTTAAAAACGACAATTAAGCAGCTGCTTGTCTTAATAATCATACAAAAAAAAACAATAATAATGATAAAACTAAGCAGGCAAATGCAAATTGGAACTAGAAAATGCGGCCTGATGAACAGCTGTTTTCAAAAGCAGCGTTGCCACTTAACAATAACATAAAATATCTCGATAGACATATCGAATAATACTCGATGGCACAAATTATCGACGGATTAAATTTGTATATTTATATTTTTTTAACAAACTATAAAATGACTATGCACATATTAAACGCTAGTTTTGGTTATCTCTAGTGTGGAAGGCGTTCGAGTTGCAGGCGTGCCTGAACTCGGAGTACGTGTTGATATACCGCGTGGCGCAACAGTATCGCCATGCAACTTGGAACGCTTCGGCAGCGTCGCAGCTCGCAAATAGGGATTGTCTATATTCGGGTTTTCCAAAATGGCTTTATTTGTCGTTGAATTGGGTTTGATCTCCAGTTCGAGCTTCTCCTCCTTGGACTTGTCGCCATCCAGCTCCTCATTTTCGCTGTCACCCTCCTCGCCATCCTCTAAAAATGTTAAAAGTGTTCGACATCACTTTTTTTATTTGAATATGAGTGGACAAACCTTTGCTTGGCACATCTTCTGTGCGATTGGCTACCAGGTAGTGATACTCAAGCTCCTCAAAGTCAAATACTTGATCTGTGGGATTCAGGGCAGCTGCATATGCCGGAAAGGCAGGCTTGCAGGAAATTACTGTAAAATTCAGATAATATTAAATAAATAAAGAATTAAATTAAGCTTTCTTTACGTACATGGAAACATGTTGTCCTCAGTGGGAAAGAGATTGTTTGTGTCCGTTGTTTTACATAGGAACTTGGTCAAAGCCTTCTCCACGTCCCGCTTTTGACTGGCTGCCTTTTCGCGTATAGCCTCGTATTCAGTGACCGGCTGCTTGTGCGTGGGAGTCCGTATGTAGGCATGTGGATCGGGCATAGCGGGCAAGTGGCTGGGCACATAATGAGGATGATTTGCCTTGCTGCCTGCTTGCAACAGACTCAGCTGACGCTGTTGCGTTTGCTGCGATGGTAGCGGTATCGGCACATGGCTGCCACGGCGCACATACGGCTCCAAGCTGTTAATATTGATGCCCATGTTAATTAGCGCCAAACTGACATCGCCCACAGTAGGCATGGTTCGTCCACCTAGCTCACAGTAATTATGTGCCGAATTGCCAATCTCAACAATCACTTAAAGTTAAATATTTGTATAAATAGAATTACACACATAGCAAAGAGACAATTTACACTTACGTGCCTGCATCATTTGTGTCAGGGTTTCGAGGCATTGATTGCTGGCTAGGGCGGCGCCTTTGTCCAGCAGCAGCTGGGACACCGCCTTGTTCAGTAAACGCCTATAGGCATCAATGTTTGGTAATGCAATGGCTTCCATGGCTTTTTCCATTAAATTGAAGTTTGTTTGTGAAAATTCGTGTCTGAAGCATCAAGTTAAAATGAGATTGTTTATATTATATCGATATGACGATATGTTTATTTGCATACATAACGCTGATTACATTTAATATCGATATATTTAAAACGGACGAGTGCATTGCAACTGCGAAATATTTTGTCATGATATACATTCATGAAGCAGAAAATATAAAGCAATATTTTTCAGAAGAAATGAAGAGCTAAAAGAAATCCTAAATTCTTATTTAAAAACATATTTGATTATTTTTCAGTTCTTTTAGCACATAGCTCATAATCACGCTTGAACAAGTTCGTTCACTGATTTAACGAAGTTCTAATTGAACTAGCAGGGAATAGGCTGAGAACAGAATGCGGCCACACTGAGCTTAGTTGATTTTAATTATCCACAGCTGACGGTTTGTGAGAACGGCGGGCGCTAAGCAATATTTGTGTATTTTTTTGGTTTGTTTTATGTCGACTAACAAAAGTGCAATTGTGTATTAAAAATAGCGACTAGCTTACAATAAAGAAAACAATTAAATGCCATTCGTACATCTGAGGCGCACAGTGCAAAAGGTACGTAACAAATGCACATTTGCTTGTACATTTATTTATTAATTGATGTTGATACAGCGCCGCTGCACCTACTCTGCTTGTTGTTCAACGCGCAGCAATGCAAAGCTTTCATGCATTCATTTAAACTTCACTTCCCATCTTGTAAGAATGAACGGCAGCAGTGAATGCTAATTATGTGCAGCTATGTATGTATATATGTGTGTTTCTGATGCTGCCGCCAACGACGCCGACTGCTGTGGCCTTTATTTTCAAATATGTGCCCTGCAATTGACGCCTAAACATTTGATTTGTGTGCTGCGGAACAGCCGGCACTAAAAACTCTCAACCAAATAAAATCGTTTCTATTTTCGTGTTATTCCAATTGCGAAACGCGACCGAACATTTTTCTATTCACGCGAAACCCGTAATTTTGAGTGCGTGTGTATGCCGAAGTGGGTGAGAGCGGGTGAACGGGTAATCGTGAATATATATGTTTGTCTATATGCTCATATATGTGCGCGAGCAAGAGTTAGTTAACGGCTGCTGTTCTTGCTCTTTGTCTCCGTCTATTTGTCTGCTTGTATTACACTGTGCTTCTAGCCCTTGTCACGTACTGCAGTTTGTTATTCATTGTTTTGCACTTCACTGATATTTGGCGGCGTCTTCTTTGTGGCGTTCATCTGTGGCTTTTGTAAGGTTGTTTCTTGCGTGTTTCATTTTCATTGCGATGACTCAAAATTCCCAAGCTCATCTATGAATGAGATAGTATGCGCGCGTGTACGTGTGTGTCTACATATGTAATTCCTATTCTTTCTTGCATTATCTGCGATTCTATTATCACCTTGACTCTTGACTCTAATCAGCAAATGCAATAAACGGAGCTGATCGAGCGCGAGACAACAATGCGAGGCTGCTTCTTAGTCCGCTTTTTTTTTACTTGGTTCGTGAGTCAACGCCGGCAGCGTTGCTGTCAATTTCGTCAAATTTCCCATTAACTCCTTTGCCGTTTGCAATTCTGAGCAAAAAGTTGGTAATTAATTAATACTGTTTATCATTTTTCTCAACAACAGCGACTACTTTAGTGTATATATGTATATATTTATAAATAATAAACACTTATCTATGCATTCAGCTTGTCTTTCCTGTTCGGTCATTATCAATGCGATAAAATAAGTTTTTTTTTATGATTTCAGAATCACGGTGACGCTATAGCATGTGCCATAAAAAATACCATAAATTAGCATACCTTCGAATGAATAGAGAAAGGGCCTTTAAAGTCAATTGTATTTGGGAAATTTTGATAGATCACATTAATACAAATGTACATAAATATGAATGCACAATGATTAAGCAAATGAAGCTTGGAAAAACCATGTAAACTTTTAATTTTTATAGGAAAACCCGCAAAACCGCACACAGCTATAAACATAAACAATATTTATAATTGTTTATAATTACATGCACACACACACACGTGTGTATGTGCCTATGTGTCTGTGTGTGCTTATCGAGTACATGGTATACAATTTCAACTGATTCGCATAGCAAACAAATTATGTTTATTTAGTACTTGATCATATGCCGGCTCCTCTTCTGCTTTGCTTATCTAAGCGAATCGCTACTAATAAATATTCAATTGATAATGATAACGAGGGAACATTTGAGGCAGTGTATAGACGGTTAAATACCCTTTTTTTAAAGATAGATTGCAAATGTGACCTTAGCAACAAATAACGTCTTAATACGTTAATAATAATAATAAAGTAATCAGCATTGTCTTAAGTGCGAGGTATCTGCACTTGGAACAGGTTCACACAATGTTCAATAAAAAAGTTGAGCTGCGTAGCTAGCCCGGGTCTGTTTAGGGTATTCAAAAGTGCGCACTCAAACCCGATGGCGCATTTGTTTGTTTTTGTTCTGCTGAAAAAATTGCGCCCGGGAGTGCGGGTGTGTGTGTGTGTGTAAAAGAGAAATTTCGTCGCAAGCAAAACAAAAAGGAAAAAACTTATTTATTTTTTATTCTTATTAGGTATGTGAAAAAAGAGAGTCACAAAGTGGGGAGCAACAAAGTGCAGCGCTTGTTGCTGTCCGATTCGAATCGAATTATGAATCAGAGTTGGGGAAATGCCCATATGTAACTGAAAATGCTATTGAAAAGTATTTGAGCGAAGTTGGCCACGGGCCGTATGAGTAATGTGTCGGAATTGGCAACATCACTCATACATTGACAATCATGTATTTATATGTTTGTGTGCGTGTGTGTTTAGATCTATCAATAGAGAGTGGCTTATTTTGTGTATTTGCAGCTCAGAGCGAACCAGCGGCAACTGGCGGCAAGATTGATTTAAACATTTGATCGACAGACGCCGCCTGGACATGAGCAAGGCCGGCAAGCACATCCAGAGCAGTGGCCCAGCTTTGGCTATAGGCCACGCCTCCAAGGCACTGCTCGCGCCCTCGACTGGACCCGCAACAACAACAACAACAGCAACGTCTAACGGTCAGGCCACCAGCCCCACCAATGTGTTCAATTCCATAATGAGCTTCCTGCCGGACAATCGGCCAATCACCTCACTGCACATTGTCGCGGACTTTGAGCGGTAAGTGAAGGCATTCAATTAATAAGCCAATATTACGAAAAGTGAGCACCTGCATTCGTATATTTAATGGGTCAAATACTGCAAAATAGAAATATAAACAAATAAGCACGTAGCCATCGGACATGATCGACTGCCTCGTTCAAGGCCCAAAAGTGTAGTGTATCTATTTGAGAACCAAAACTGAGAAATATATAGCTGTAAAACTGCGCGTTGCTACATCTATATAATTTTAATTGGGCGCGTTAGACATCAGTACATATGCCCCATTCAAACTCTATGCCACGCCCATACTTAGCCCCTTAAGAATTGAGGGTATCAAAACGTATTATATTCAAAACTTTAGGTTCGACACAAAGCTGAGATACTCCCTTCACAAAGCGAACGAATATGGAAATATAATGGATACAATTAGAGCATTATTCGTTATTTTATAATAAAAACTAATCACCTTTCCAATTAGAACTGGGCTTTATGATATACTACTCTGAGTAATGGCAAAAAGTTTCTTCTATTTCAATCTAAATATATATATATATATATAATATATATAATATATATATATATATATATATAGATATATATAATATATATAATATATATATATATATATATATATATATATATATATATATATATATATATATATAGTCTTCTCTCGAGATCCAACTATGTTGACTTCAATGTAAATTGAATCATATACGATTCGACTGCTCGAGTTCTAGTTAGGTTTATTTAAGATATTCAGGAATGGGCAGCGCGTTTAGCTAATCAGACTAGCCTTGTGCAAGACCTCAAACAGTTTTAAGTGCAATCTGAACTAGTTCTTTGAACTACTACGAATCGCTGTAACAATGCACAATTTGAACTCTTGAACTCGGCGACTCGCTTTAATGGCCCATCAAGCGAGCAATTCGTAGCCTCAATTATATCCAATTTATGTCTTTTTATTTTCTTTTTTTAGCTGCCCGAAGAACTTTAATGCCATACATCGGACATACGATCAGGATGCTGACGCGGATCTGTGGCGTGAGAATAATATACTCTTTGGACGCCAAACCACGCGCTATCTGTGCCTATCCAAATCTGAGGGCTTGCCCGAATACGTTGTCGAGACGCTCAAGTAAGTGCTGATAGTTGAGTCATGGCAGGGAGCATGCTTTTAAAGCTAATCAATGTAATTCACTTGTAGAGTCATTGCCGAGAAGGTGCCGCCGCCTAAAGAGTTTTCGCTGCTCTCTCGCACCGCGGACACCGATCAGAAGGCGTGGCGGAAGCGTCAAATCGCCTATAAGCTGTCCAAACGGAGCACCGTCGTGCAGGCCGTTACTGATGTCATACTCTGCTCCAAGCAAAAAATAGCGCCCGATGGATTCAAGCTGGCCGGCGACATTAACGGCGTCCTAGTCTGTTATAAAACTGGTGCCATTCCCGTGCGTCTGCCCCCGCCTGTTCCGGGCAGTAGCTGCGAAGTGGAGCAGGCGCTGAATCGTCTCAATTTGCATGGCCAGCGCACAGCACGTGGCCCGGTGAGTTGACGGACATTTGAAGGCATTGATATTGATAGCATTATGCTCTTATGATCCAGCTTAACATCACAAGTCAGTAACGAAAGGAGAGATTGTTTTTTAGATGGATTGGCTTTCTGGTTGCATGTGTTGAACCATTGACAAAAATCTGTAGAAGATGCTTTACTGATACCAAAGAAAAGACGTTGGAACTAGTCATCTTCAAAGAGATATAGAATACTATAGTAATAATAGATTAAAGATCTTCCTAGAATTCAAGGTGCAATTAGTTAAAGGCGAACATTGTTTGTAAATTAGATTGTTTCTTTGATTGATTCTGAATGCTCTAAAGACCAACTCTTTAAATTGCCTAAAAGCCAATTTAGCTAAAGTAAGGAATTCTAGAAATTAATTAGCTCTAGCCTCAGAAAGCTGATTCCTCAGCAAGATTTTGTTAAATTAGTAATCAACGGTTGTTACATTGCAATGGACTATTGTTAAGAGAAGGCGAAGTAATATAGTAATAGTAATATAGTGTCAAGCTTAATCTTTATAATCATTATAATTTACTTTCTGTATTGCCAGCTGCCGCAGTTGCCTGCTACGACTGAACATCACGACTATGAGGAGATACAGGCGCACTATCAAATCAATTCACCTCAGAGACCAGCGCCGCCACGTCCAGCGTCAACAGCTCTCGCAGGAACAGGTCCAACTTTAGGAACAACTGGGCGCTCTGGCTATTTTGGCATTGGCACACTTGGCACCTACACAGAGCTGGAGGGTGTGCCGTTTGCCATGCATGCGATGCTGCAGCGCAGCCAGCCTATGACTGAAGTAGGTCAACAAAACTATGCTTATGTATGAATATATAATAAATATATTGTTAACCATTCCACTTGACAGTTGCCTACACTGCCCGAAATCTCAACGCTGTTGAAAACTCTTGACTATGACTTTCAGCTGGAGCGTCAAATCTTGTGCACCATGAAATCCTCGGCATCCAAGAATCCATTCTTCAAGTAGCTCAAAAACCAAATGAGCGCTCTATAGTGAAAAAGAAAACGTAAATTTAATTAAATCAATTGTTTCAATTGGATAATACTAAAAACGAAATGTACTTAGACTCGTATGCGAACGAATAGCACGAATATATAGCACTCACATTTGTATAATCAGTTCGATTTCCATTCGGTTCAATTCGATTCCATTGATACAATAATGATTATATTTGCTTAAAAAGACCTCAGACCCATATGTGTGTATAGATTCCTGTGCCTTTGATATGTATCTAAGTTCATGTGTGCGTATCTAATGAATATGCATCCCCATTGTTATATCTGAGTCAAGCAAACAAACAAAAAAACCATATATAAATATCTATATACATACAAATCATATTTATATGAATTTGACCCGCATTGTGATCGTGAAACGAATGTTTGTCATTATTATTTTTAAATTGAATGTCCGAAATCAATTAATCATGATATATATACATATATACATACACCATACAATACCATGTACAACCCTCTGATAAAAATATATACATACACACGTCTAAACATATATATATATACATACATATATTATTTAATAGCTATAGTTAATGTTAAAGCTGAACAAGTCAAAGTAAACATCTGAAAAATAATTGCAAACAAACATATAATCTGATATATATTTATATATATATACAATATAAAACAATACATATGTAGCTAAGCACTGCAAAACCAGTTGGTTTTTAATAACTGTATGATGGTACTTAGTTTTTAGAGACGCGTAGACTGTACGGATATATTGAAAACAAATCAAAGTTTCTTCCCTTAAACATCATATAAAGATCCCCCGTGAACACTCAACAAGATTCGCATAATGTTATGCAGCTGTTTAAAATTAAATATTTATATCAAAATATACAATATATAACATTATATATATAGCAATTGTATTCCATGTTTTTTTCCTCAAGGCAAGCCAGCTGGCATGCTATCTCTGTTCTGTCTCTGTCTCTTTCATTTTCTCGAGCTGAATGTTCTCTCAAATTGTGTGGAATCAGTGGTAAGTAATAGTAAGTTATATTTATATAACATATATACATATATATAACACAATTTTTATAGAGATTATATTTTAAGGAACACGAGACTGTGGCTTACGTGTAGCATTCTGCTATATTCTCGGAACTGTGAACCCTGGCTTGTGGCTTGTAATACCGATATTGACGAGAATTGCGCCATATACTATTATAAATCCAGCAGTAACAGCACTCCATATCACTGCGCTGATTAGTGTATAGAGAGAAAGGGTATCTTTAAGACTAGACGATTCAGCGCAGAGTTGAAACTTAGATCAATAATAAAACAAAGTATCTAAAAGTAATATTTATAGATATATATATATTTACGAATATGTACAATATAAAATCGTATGTGGAATATTTACAATAACTGTTATACGTTGGGTGTGTTTCGGGTCACGTTAAGCGCGTAGCGTCCGGTTAATCAGTTTATCAGAATATATTATGAAATAGTAAATCCGGCTGGGAGAGCGTCTTCTTCAGGTTGCGTACGCTAAGGCGCTTTAATCCACGATCAGCCGTGCATCTGTGGTAGAGAGTAGAAGCAGTGGGAGCGTTGCGGAGCAGGGACAGGTTCAGGTACGGGGATTGGGATTGGTTTGTTTGTGGTTTAGTTAATTAGCAACGAGAGTTCGAGATCGAAAGCATCTGACAGCCGTGGACTCGGGGAACTGCGAGGGAATCAATGCCAACAACACGAACACCAGCACCACATGAACAAAAGCTTTTTGGAAGCGAGCTTTGGATTAGGCTTGGCTGCAGGAGGCGCTCCACTTACTCGAAAATGCGACCATGGTACTCGATCATCAAGTTCACGCAATCGGCCAGGGTTTCGCCTTCCCGGAGTAGCGCCTGTATGTCATTCATGTGCACACCCTGTGGCACTGTGTGAAATATCGATGGTGTTATCGATATCGATAGTGTTTCGGCGCTTATTTGCTGCAGCGGCACCTTGGTTAAACTGAGTAAGAGAGAGACGGAGAGAGCGAGAGGATACAGGGTGCCATTAAGCATAACAAGGAAAAATGCATTTGAGACTCACCGATTGAAATGGCCAAAGAGATAATCCATGGTGTCGCGATTGATCTCCGGCAGTGAGCGCATCAGTCTCTTGAGTATGTCCAACTTATGGTTCAGATCGGTGAGCACTGCAAGCAATGGAAGGGAGATCGATTAGAGAGCTCGAAAGAGGGGAACGGGTTGCTGTGACTTACGCCATTGATTGGGCGAGCCAATAAACGTTTTGGCCTCGTTGACGCTGATCAGGGGACTCTTGATCTCGCGCAGAAATAGCTTGAGCACGCCGGTGAGTGTGTGTATATCGACGCCGGGCTGACGCAGTGCGTCATAGTCATTGGCATCGATGTTGAAGCGCAGCGTTTGAATCTTATTGTAATCGCCGCACTGCCGATAGATGCCCTCCACGGGCTGGGAGGAGCGTCGATACTTCTGCTCGATCAGGTCACAGCAATCGATCACTATCCGCGGCACCGTGCGAAAATTTTCGTGCTTGAGAACCAGCTCCAGCTCCGTATCGAAGCAGGGCTCGTCGAAGAAGATGCGTTGTTCGCGCAACGTCTCCACGCTGGGCCGGCTCTTCCACCAATTGGCCAAATTCATCCAGGCGACCAATCTGGATGGACGCACAGGTGTGCCGCCATTACGTTTGCCAGCTGCTCCAGTTGCAGCTGGTGCTGTTTGTCGCTTCTCTTGTTGCTGTTGCAGTTCCGACAGCTGGCGACTCATCTCGACCAGTTTCTGCTCCAGCTCCTGAGTGTAGCTCGCCTGCGCCTGCAGATCCTGCTCCAGCGTATGCATTCGCTGCTTTAGATTTTGCCAGCGCTTGCCACACACCGCGCAGCACTCGCGATTGCCGTTGCGCGGACTGCCCGCCGAGGAGTTGCTGGAGGAGCACATGTCTAGGCTGCCATTGGACACGAGCACAGCTGTCGTTCCTGCCGACTCTTCCAGCAGCAGGCGTGTCAAATCTCGCGTGCTACTGCTCTTCAACAGCGTCAATTTGTTTGGTTTGCTGCGCAGCTCGCGGAGCAGAACAACGGCCTCCGGGCGACCAGCGCCAACTGTGAGACCTGCCTGATCCAGCGTGCAGTTGGACCCGGCGTTGCTCTCCAGGCGCAGCAGGGCCGTCGATGTGGAGCTGTGCGAACGCCCATAGTGTGCAGCCGTGGAGGGCGACGACGACGTGGTTGTCGAACGATCTCGAAAACAGTTCATCAGTCGCTTGGGTTGATGCCGACGATCGTGGGCCACGTTGCCAGCTGCGCCAATTATTAAGTGCGCCGAGTCCGGTGTTCCAGGCGTCACTGGTCTGTTGCTCGCCCTTGCCTCCATTTCAATGCGTTATCCGACTTTGAGTTCGACTTCGACTTCGACTTGGAATTCGAGTTCGACTCGTATATCGAGGCGAGGCTCTCAGTAGCAGCTTATCGTATCTTCGTCTATTGTTATTTTTGTCGCATTTGTTTCTGAGCGGGCATCTGCCTCTCTCTGTCTCCCTATCCTCCTCCCTCTGCCGCTGACGCTCTCACTCCCACGGCTAGCAGCTCATGCACTCCTTCCGCTGCGTCGACTTTGCCTTTCTGAGAGGGTCGATGACGTCAGTGATGCAAGCGACTTATCGTCGCGCCGTGGTGCGAGCTATGCGAAAAAATCAAGCCATATAAATAAGTATATACAAAATGCTTATTATTAAGTACTTCATTGTGTTGCCAGCTGCTAAAGTGAAGACTGGCTAAGAAGGACTATTCGATGTTCGCTGGAATAGCGCTTTTGTTACTTATAGCTTTAATGACATTTCAGAAGTAGAAATTAAAAACTGAACAAGAAAATATTGAAAATACTTATGCGAAAATAACGTTCGTTTGTTATCAGAAACTTTACTGTGGAATATATTTTATTGCACAGTCATTGAAACTTAAACACTTAACCAATTATTTATCTTTAGAAAACTAAACTATAAGGTATATATATGAGCAATTTGTAACGGAAATTTCAAATTTGTTCTTGCTTAGGGGTTCAGCGTAGTAATACATCACTGTGATAGCCCTACCTCGACTGTCGGAGCCAAGTGCCAATTTCCGTTAGTCCCTAATTTGTGTAACTTGCACCACTGTGCGAAATGCGTGTACTCTCGTTGTTCTGCTCTTCTTTTGCTTCTTGTTCTTGTGACCGCAAACTCTGCCCGTCCTTCGGAGAGATGCCGTTATGATGTCCGTTTCTTCGAGTATGCGAAACTATGACGCAGTGGGATCAGCCAACATTTCCATTCACATGCAGCTCGGATTTCAACACGCTCTCGCTCTGAATCGAACTATTGAAATTCTTTTAGTGCTGTGTGGCGTCTTATCGGCAACGGGTGGCTCGCCTCGCTCGCCAGCGGCCCAGCGTTTGATAAGATAAAAAAAAAAAAACGCACCAAAACAAATGCTCAAATAAATCCAACACACAGTTCTGCATGAGTAGAACTACGACAGCGACAGCGACTGCGACTGCGATTGCGATTGCGAGTTAGTGTTGGGCAGCCGCAACAAATTGGCGATAAAGTGCTAAACAGTCAACTGCCTGCTGACTTCGTTCACGATCGTCTCTCGGTGGCATTACCCTTCCCCTTAAACCCTCGCCTCCTCGGTCTGCCTTTCTCTCGCTCTGCTTCTATCTATGCAGCGTCTAGCCCACATCCATTTGCACCCATATCAATGTTTACACTGGCAGCTAAGCAAAACAACTGCCGCTCCAATGAGCAGCCACTTGGACTAGGCCAGAGTCAGCTACTTCAGCGTCGGTTAATCAATGGGTTTTGTGTTAGCGTATATGCAGAGAATATTCGTTATTTCATTAAATGTGTTACGCTTAAACAGGGACTAGCTTTTAATTCCATTCAGAATATATGTATATATTCAAAATCGTTTTACAACTGTCAGTTCTTAATGTCCGCTTCGTTTATTATATATGTACATAGATTTGTATTGGTTGGATCGAATCACTCACCTGAAAGCAAACTTCATCAATGAGCTGAATGAAAATTCATATTCAGGGTATATTTTTGTGTGGTAGATCCTATACAATACAGTAAAGGCTAAGCTTTTATTCCCACTTCGTTGTTATCGATAAGAATCGATCATTTTTATTGCTGTTTGTAACATAACTTAAGCAAAATTTGAGCTACACACATCAAAATGACTTTGCAGATTGAAAAAAAAATGAAAATGAAAAAAAAAATAAAACATTTATCTTATTTCTTTAAGTAGAGCCTTGGACTTTATTTAAAACAAAAGTCATACAATTTTTTACGCCCAGAATTAATTAGCGTTCAGGGTATCTCCTAGCCGGACACTTCCGAATAGAGCACTCTTACTTGTTCCCCTCTAACTTTATAGAGCATGTTTGCTACAAATATGCACTCAACTACTATATAATGTATATATTATAGATATTCCTGAAAACTACTGTAGATACTAATATATAATATATATTTAAGGTATATTTGATATATTACTCAGATGCTAATAAAATTTTATTGTTTGTCAATTTAAATGGCTCAGTCTACTAAATTGAATAGTTCATGCGAACAATGCTTAATATGTCTGATAGGGCATATAATCCTCGGCTACATGTATATAAATATATGAACCTTTTATCTCCATTTTAATAGAACGAATTGTCCCTGTGTTACAGTAACTTCAATTGTCACATGAACAGATTGATAAGCTTTTTGGTCGCCTATTCATAACTTGCAACATATATACAAAAACTATATACAATATAGATGGTAATTCCTTCTAAATGAGACATATATGCATACAGTCGATAGGGATTTTTATTATTTTCAAGACGTTTCTGTGATGACAGAGAGAGACAAAACAAATTTTTTAGTAAAGCGAAGTAATAATAATGAAAGAAAATCATTTCAAGCATAGCATACAACTTAAGAGATTACACTTAAATTATCTCAGATCATCTGGGATTTATTATGTTTGGATATCCTGTGGTTTTATACTCTCCGTTTTGGCTACGCAGTGGACTTTCGTTCGGTTGGATTGGCTACAAATGGGCCGCTGCTCTTGACGTTGCCGATAGCATATGGTTATTAGGGTAGGGAGAGAAGTACATAACAAAATTTATTGGCTGCAGCTGCTGCTGAAGTCATCAAACTTCAAACTCCATTGGCGTTTCACAACTTCTCGTTTTACAATTTTGAGCTTTGCACCGTTCAATGGATTTCTTTCATGCTGTTCTGTTTGCACTGGCTCCACTTACTCATGCAGTGGCATATTTATTCGATATTTTTTGAAATTACGAAAAGCCCTTGTCTGAAGCAGTAGATGCATTAAAGGTGGCAGGCACACGGTGATATCATAGTGCTCGTAAAGTGTTAGCAATTGTTATTATTATTATTTTTTTTTTTTTGTAACTACATTAATTATACGTTTTTTTATTTTAATTATGGTCTGGTAAAATATACAATTGAAATTCGATAAAAACATCACACATATCGATGTATCGCTGAAAAGTATGCTATGCGCAACCTTCCTTGGTACCATAATATAATAGCGCTGTGCAACACTGGTCGATAAACAGCCGCGCTTATTTGCATTTTTATTTAAATTTAAATTACTATAACCGCTGCTTACAACAACGTAGATAAATAAATATAAATATATATTCATATATAAATATTTATATAACTATACATGTATAAGCAATGCACACTGAATTATTGACTGTTAAATTATATTGCATTTTCGTTGAACCCGAAGCCCTTGGATTTCAAAGTTGCCATATCATGCCAATTAATCGCCGTTGTTGTTGTATTTTTCGGCAATTGCTGAAAGTTATAGAAATTTAACTGGCTAGCACAGCTGATGTCGACTTTATCTCTTTCACACGCGCTTTGGCGACTTTCATGCGCAAGGGTCTTCGCTGTGGGTCAACAATGCACACAAACGTACTTATGTACATGTGTGTGTGTCTGTGTGTATATGTTGGATGCGTCGTTGTTGGAGGCGTTGACAGCGACGCGACGTTTTCGGCGCTGACCGTTGCGGTCACCTGTTACTTTCACTGCGTCAAGCGCAGCTGCGAACACGTTTTCTGTGTTTGTCCATTGGCCAAACAATGCAAAATTATTAAAATTACAAAAACGCGGAGACAGGGCAGCCGTATTGTTTTTTTGCTCTTTACTAAAGTTTTTTCTTGCCTTACCAATAATCGCATAAATTAGCGATTCTTTCGGCAGTCGCCAGCGGAAGTCTTTTCACTTGGCTCTCACTTTCGTTATCGTTGCCATTGCCATTGCCATTGTTGTTGTTGTTGTTACTGCTGTCAAATATTTAATAATTTGTGCTAAAATGTGAATTAAATGCCCCCATCGCATACATAATAACCTAGTGGCAACGACAACAACAAGCCAAAAGTGGCAGCAATCGCAACTACAACAACAACAAAGTTGACGCTGTGGAATGCAAACGGCATGTGAAAAGAAAACGAAATAGTGGACAAATTGACTGACTGACAAGCAAGCAGCGACATGTTTAAGCTAGTCTAACGACGGCAATGACAACAGCAACAACAACAGCGGCAACAACAATAAAGACCAAGAATTGCCTATCCTGGTATTTGGTCACAGAAACGCACACATTTGTCGACTGCGACGGCCACGTTGAGAGCGCGCCCAAAAATGCAATTGAGAAAAAAACCCACGCAATAACAAAAACCCAAAATAGAAGACAACTATAAAAGTGATGAAAACAACAACGAAACGGCATGCCAATGCCAAGACAGCTCACACACACACACACACGCGCGCAGAGACTCACACACTCACATAAACCCATACCACTTGCTGTGCTGTTGTTTACCTGCGCCGCATGGCAGAGACGTTAGCGTCAACAGCGCAGTCGCAGCATCATTCCAGTGCACACAGCTGCAACGCATTGCATTATTCGGCAGAACACTGAAAGAAAATATTATCAGCAGCCTGTTTTTATATAGATGTACGTATATACGTATGTATATGGGGTATATTATATATTTGTATTTTATTAAAACTTAAATATTAAACAACATTATGTCTCTCTATTTATTACATACATATGTTTGTATCTTTTTTCAGTGTATAACTTGCCCAGCCCCTGGTTCCTGTCAACATACCAAGCAGCAAGTACAAGAAAAAATCAACAGGCTGTTACAACAACAGCCACGCAAAACACACACAAGTCCAAAAATGACAGAAACAACAACAGCGATCGCTGACGTTAATGTTTTTGTTTTTGTGATTTTCTTCTTGCTTCAGCTGTTGTTGTTGCTGGTCTTATCCAGCAGGTAGACGCGCCGGGTCGGTTGCATTTCAGCGTTGCTGCCGCCGTCTCTGCTTCAGCAGACGTCGCCGTCGTCATCGTCGTCGTCTGTTTCGTTTTAGAGCTAGGCTGTTGAAACTTGGCTCAGAGTTTTGGCGTTCAGTCCGCTGGCGAACGTCGTCTTGAGCGCAGTTTGTCGTTGTCGTTAGTCGCATAAGCCAACGTCTCAACGTGCGCGTGTGCGTGTGTGTGTTTGTGTTTGTGCTTGAGCTTGAGCTGCGCGTGTGTCGGTTACTGTGCCTGTGTTACTTGGCTGGCCCGTTCCCGTTTGTAAATTATTATACACGTTGATTTTGTTTTTTTTAGTTTTATTTTTTTCTGTGCCGGAGCAGCACAAACTGGTTGCTGCCGTAAGAAGCAGAAGCTAGCTGTGAACGTAAGAGCTAGCCGCAGCAGCAGCAGCAAAAACAACAACGATAATAATAGCAATAGCAATAGCAACAACAACAATAGAAGAACCGTATTTTTTTAGTTGTTCGGAAAAACGTCGCAAAAAGATTCGTCTAGCGGCAGCAAAAAGGAGCACAATAACAGTAACAGTAACAGCAGCAGCAGAAGTAGCAGCAACAACTAACAGTAGCAAGCGCGTTAACAGTAGCTGTTGCCAGTATATCCACATAGCTAATTGAAAAAGATGCCCTGCTCGGCCGTGACGCTATCGATAGCGACAATCTGTGCGATTATCGCCACAGCACTGCTCGCGATCGCCTTCTCCACGGACAATTGGCTGCACTATGATGTCAGACGCAATCAGATACAGGTTAGTGTAAAAAGCGTTAACAAAATGATGGCAGACGCAGCTCTCATATCATTTCTCATATCTCTATCTACAATCTTCGCATGCATACAAAGCATATTATGTATCTATGTGTATATGTGCTCGTCTGTTTGTATGTGCATCTGACACCCCCGCAAAGTCGACAAACAATAGGCTCAAATCGAGCCAAGGCCTTGTCATAGAAATAACAAAAAATTAAAACTGTGCACCACAGGTCACAATCAAAGCAGAAGCCGAAGCCCAAACAGAAACCGAAGAAGAGACGAAGTCACAATGCAAGTCGAAATTAAGGCACAGTGGGCAGGCACTTGAAGAACATGTGGACAGTGTCCAGATGTTACTAAAATGTACTTAGAACTTCATATTGTGGTACAGCTAGAAACACAAAAACAAAGAAAATGTGATTCTACAAAACCAAATGAAATTCTACCTATATATTTTATAGTACATTCAAGGGTATTAGAAAGTAATAGAATATGCCTACAATATATTCATTTTAATTTTGTTATTGATCTTCAAAATATAATTTTAATTGATTAAAGACTCCCTAGGACCCTGTGAACAATAACATCAAACAACAAAAATGTAATTATTTATAATTAATCAATTGAAAAGCTGATATTAGACCACATATATATGGGGAGTGAAAAGAACAAAAACGTAATTTTAACTCACATTTCTCTAATACTTATAAAGGCATACCACTGTACCTGCTGCTCTCTGCAACGGTTAACGTCTGCAGCGGCTTCGTTAACAGTAACAGACGCGCGTGTTGTTGCTTAGCGAACAGAAGAAAAAATAAGGGCATGGCGCAGCGTGTGAGGCACATAAGAGAAGAAAGGTCGAAAGCGAACAGCAACAGGCTGGCTGGCAGCGCATGATCAAAGGGGCGGCCAAGCGGCTGGGCGGTTGGATTGGTCGTTAACGCTAAAACTTTCTACGCGAGCGCTTAGCCAAGCCAAGCGACACGACTACTGTGGATAAATAGGAGGGACGGGGGACGAAATAATGAAGAAGACGATAAAGGAGACGAAGAAGCAGCAGTAATTTCTCATTTTGCATGTAATACACGCGAATAACAACAACAAATGGGGCTTGTAGGTGCAGCTTAGGCAGAGAGCAGAGACACAATGAGCGAGAGAGAGCTTCAAAACTGTACACATATATGCGAGTGTGTGTTTGTGCGCATACTTCGCATACCAAAACAAGCTAATAGCAGCGTGTGCTGAAAATATTTGCACGTTTTTAACATTGGCGCTAGACGATTGGCTTTACTTGCGCTCGCTTAAAGGTTAATCCTAACAGTGTTGCCAGCTCGCCGAGAGTGAGAAAGAGATAAATGCAGATCGATATAGGAAGAGCACGGATGCATAATATGCACTCTGATCATAATATGTATGCACGTATATGTGTGTGTATCTACGTAGATGTCTGTATGTATGCATTTATAAAGCCCTTAGAACGAGGTAATTACCTCTTTTTTGGCTGTTGTCCGTCCTAGCTACAGCAATTGGTAACGCTGTGCTGTTGCATTTTAATTGGCCCGTAGCAAATCGATTGTAATGCCCCAAAATACACAGCATGGCTGGAGGCAGCCCTGCGCGGCATTACATTTCAACGGCTCGCAGCTGGCGTATCTAATGCTTTCTAATTAGCTGGACAGCCGAGTATTGCATAGCCTAGCATAAGCAGGGCTATTCACATTAATTATAGAACGGTCGTTTTTAAGATTTCTTTTCTTTGTTTTTTAACTCTAATTGTCTTCTTAATGAATTCTTTGAAGTATCGTGGCGACTTACAACACTGCTCAGCGCAGTATTTATTACAATTGTTTTCTTACACACTTTATTTTCTTGCTTCGTAGAACTAACGCTTGGCGGATTACTGTTATCAGTTGCCTTTGTTGTTCTGTTCGTGTTTGCTCTCTTTGACGCTCTCTTTGTGACTCTTTTGCTCGATTCTTTGTGCTGCAGGCGAAGCAAGTTAAAGCGTCTCATAGAAACACAACAACAAGAACAACTTCTGCTGTCGCTGTCGCTGCTGCTGTTGTCCATTGCGTCTGCTTGTTCTTTCCACTTCCAACTACTTTAGCTCTACTCTGCTTCTTCTGGTTTCCAGTACCTGTCTGCGTGCCAAAGCAAAAATTGTTTATTTTTTTCTTTCTTTTTCTTGATCGTTAACTTAGCCAAAGCCAAAGCCATTTGGCTAAAGGGGGCTTGGCCAGGGAAGTGGGGGGCGCTTGGTTATACGTACGTACATATGTGGCATAACCGGTTTTGAGTTTTCACTCGTTTCACGTTTTCAAGTCTCTCAAAATTGGTATGCGATACCCGTGGCCCGCCTCAAAGCCCCCGCCGTCAGGTTGCCAGATCGCCGGCAGCCCTAAGTCGCCATTGTTGCCGTTGCCGTTGCCGTCGTCGTCTTCGTCGTCGTTGTTGTTGTTTCGTCTTTTTATTGTCGCCAGGTTCGAATTCACGATTCGAACCGATTGCCAATCCAATTGATGAAACTTTGCCAGCTTCGCTTGGCTTGCTTAAAAGAGAAAACCCTTCCTATTAGCCACTGCATTTGTCGTCGTCGTCGCTGTTGCCGTTGTTGTTTCACTTCTCTATCTTTCAGTTCGTTTCGTTTGCTGCATTTGCCTTGTTTTGGTGCCGTCTGGCAACAAAAAAAGAAATGAAAAGCTGAAAACTTGTTGTTTTTACCATTTTTCCACACGATGCTTCAAAGTTTTGGCTCTGGTGCAATGCTTCATTTTCTTCATTTCTTTTATGTTTCTTTTTTGCTTGTTTTCTTTTTTTTTTTTCAATGAATGAATTTCGTGTCATATTTTTTACGCTTAGTAAGCGCTTTGATTTGTCAACTTGCAAGGCGAAACACATGTTAATTTGAGACTGCAAATATTAATTAAGCTTCAGACAAATTACTCATACGCCATGTGTGACCAGCAGCAGCGGCAGCGACCCAACATTAAATTTCTTTTGTGTTTCTCTTTTTTTTCTTGTAACTTTTCTCTTCTTGCATTTTTGTTATAGGGTCAGCTGCTTTATTGATATTGGTATTTACAGGGTATCTAAATGACGATATTGCCACATCGTTGTGCTGTTCAAAGTAAACTTTATTAACTGCTTTACAGGACATCTTCTAGACCATATCGAAGGCAGATCTTTGATTATTAACTTAGCCAAAAATACACTAAAAATTACTGCAATTTACAGGGTATGCATGTTTCTATTACTTATATTTTTTGATTTTCAGTGCATAGTCGAGATTCTATTCCTTTCTGATTCGGATGCCAGGAAGAGTTTCGATTGATACAATGAAAATATATTTTTTACAGGGTACTTATTTAGCTATAGCTGTGCTTTAAGTTATTATGATCATGCTTATTATATGAGCAGCTACTCAAATTTCCGAAATACACTGCCACAAATAGTGTAGATAGTTTTAAATGAGCTCTGTGGCTTTGCTTTTCACTTTTCACTTTTGAGACACAGTCAACTAAATAAAATTTTAATAATAATTTTATTTGAATTTGAATTCGAACTGTGTTCAAAGCCTTTCTCCAAGCAGTTGAGCTGCGAGTCGAGGCATTCGAAGAATCATTTACTTATTTATAGCTTGTCTATAATTTATTGAAGAGTCAGCAGTCTCAGCAGTCAGCATCATTAGCTTGGTTAATTTGTATTTTATTTGCTGACATCATGTGAAATTCCAAATTGGTTTATCACCTACAGCAACTACCGCAACAGCCGAGAACTCGATGCCATTTGCATAAAGTGAATTGCATTTGGCGTTCGGTTACCAAACACCGCCAGTCCGCTTAATCAGCCAAAGTCTCGGTGTAGCTGGGCGATTACTTGTTCTTCTCCTTCTTCTGCTACTTCTTATTGTTTACAGTTGGACAGAAAGCGTTAGGCATCGCGAGTTCTTTAACAGTGTCGCAACTGATCGCAAGCAAATAAACAGTTGTGAGAGCTGATCATTGAGATGAGTCAACATTTAAGTATGCCCGGCTTGTCATCTTCCTGCTAAAGTTGACAGCTAGTTGCCATTCTCTCATATTATGTCGAGAATACATGTTTTTGCTGTTGTCAAAGTTGACAATCGGACGTTAGCCTCTTTAACTACCAGCTGTTAAGCTTGACAAGCAGCTATTTTACTTTTAGCTTACATCTTTTTGCTCAATTTAATGGCAGACTTTTGTTAAATATATATGGGCTGAACTGTCAGTTATCTATTTGAACAGTTAACCTGGGGTTATATTGACGTCATTGTCAAAGCTCACAATCGGATGTTGGACTTCATATAAATTGGCTTTTTCAAAATTTGAATATATAAGAATATATCTTATCGAGTGTGTAACTTATTTAACTGTCAGTTTAACCTACCGTTAATCTAGCTGAACTGTTAACTTGTAGTTAACTTGACGGCGCTGCCAACTAGCGATAGCTAAGCCGCAGGCATCTCAAATAGACAGTTAGCGTAGCAACAGGCCCGAAAGATGATTATCTATTTGGTAATCTTATCTAAATACACAAATTATTGGCGTTGCCAGATCGCAGAGAAAACACATTCGCCACAGATCTTAACTGAATTCTTCACAACGTTTTTTGGCGCTTTCGCCATGCTCACACATGATAATGTCCGCTAAGTTCTTGGAGCTGCAGATTCAAATCTTTCTCACACGACTTTTGTAGCCTACTTAAATCGCAATTATTTCGGCCACTTGAGCGTGCGATTTCAAACGCTTTCGCTTCCTATGAGCTCGATAAGCGTCGTCCCCATCGGACTCCCCTCGCCCTCTTTCACCCGCTCTCTTGCTGAATAAGTAAATAATTGAAATTGAATCGTTTGGGTTGAGTTTAATATTTTGTTTCTTTAAGCTCTTTGATTTTGGAGTTTTTTATTTCAAGTTTTATTATTTTATTATTCTTCTTTCTGTGCGGAGGGGGGCGAACTTCCGCGTGCCTTTTGCCATA